TAATTTTAATGAAGTCTCACCAGTTTTTTTCTTTCATGGATCTTGCTTTTGCTATTGCATCTAATAACTCATTGCCAAACTCAGAGTCACCTAGATTTTCTCCTGTCCTACAAATTTTATGTTTTTTGTGTTTTCCATTTGGATATATAAGCCGTTTTGAGTTAATTTTTGTGAAAGATGTAAGGTCAGTGTCTAGATTCTTTTTCTTTTTTTCTTTTTTTTTGCATGTGGACATCCAGTTGTCCCAGCATCATCTGTTGAAAAGCCATGTCTTTACTCCTTTGTCAAAGATCAGTTGACTGTCATTCTGTAGGTCTGTTTGTCGACTCTGTTCTACGCCCCCAATTTGTCTGTTCTTTCACCAATACTGCTCTGGCTTTATTATTGTGGCTTTATGCTAAGACTTGAAGTTGGGGAGCACCAGTCCTCCGACTTTGTGCTTCTCTATGATTTTGTCGGCTGTTTGGGTCTTTTGCCTTTTCCTATAAATATGAGAATTAGTTCATCAATACCCACAAAGTAACTTGCTGGAATTTAGATGCAGTAAATTATTATTCCCCAATTACCTTCAGAATAAATTGTCAGATAAACATTTTCCCCCAGGGAACTAACTACCTACTCATTGTGAGCTAACAGTGGAAGAGTGAGCATCTTTTGTGTTGGTGGAAGTCTCACCGCATAGCATTCTGTCTTTACACATTCTTCACGTGAATTATAAGGAGTGGAAGAACTGTCTTTCACTATTTCATTGATATTGGCATTTTCGTTGTATTTTATGTAGCCTGACTTGCATGTTACAAAACATTTAAAAAACAATAGGGATTTTGAAGGTAATTGCAAATTCCAAATAACAGATATTAACCACTTCCAACACTATTTCTAGGAATAACTCAGTCTGAACCATATTTATAAAACAAAACAAAACATGTTTCTGGTCGTCTGTGCAGGATTCATTCATCATTAGGAATCACTGCCTTGTCGCTGCAGAAACTTTAAATTCTGCAGCGGCCAACTCAGTCTGCTGTGAAAGCCATGCTTTCAGGAAAAGTGAGTACATTGTGCGGTAGCCGAGGTGCATCATCAGCATGATCTAAAAGGAAATATGTAATGTGGCAGGTCCAGCCTGGACAGAGACCCTGGGGCAACTCTGCAGAGTGTCTGTATTTCCTCTGTCATGTCAGGAATTGCCCCTCACCATTCAGGAGTGTCTAGACTTTTATTTATTTATTTTAATATTTATTTGTCAGAGAGAGAGACAGAGCACAAGCAGGGGGAGCGGCAGGCAGAGGGAGAAGCAGACACTCTGCTGAGCAAGGAGCCCGATGCAGGACTCCATCCCAGGACCCTGGGATCATGACCTGAGCCAAAGGCAGACGCTTAACGACTGAGCCACCCAGGCATCCCAGGATCTAGACTTAAATATAATTCTTATTTTTCCCATCTGGAAATGAGTATGATAATACTGTATGCCAGAGAGACCTTGCCACCCAAAAATCTCAGTCTTAAAGCAAGTTATAAGGATACATTTCACTCTAAGAAGGCAACAGGGTATAGAGAAAAAAAAAAGTGGGAGGCGTTAGTTCTCCATACCTCCAGCGATTTTGCCTATACTGCTTGAATTTGGCAAACCTCAGTGTCCTCTGTAAAATGAAGCTATTGACAGTTGTTGTGTAGGATGTTAGAGATGATTAACTTCAACCATGTATAAAATCACCTGGTATATATTAAGTAGTCAGTATACTCTTCTTGCATTTAAAGTATATATGAGGTATTTAATAGTTCTTCCGTTTGCATCTGATTTTATAAATGAGAACACTATAACCTCATCCACCAGACAAGTCCTTGAAGAAGGTTCATCTTCCTTTACCAGTGCAATCTTTACTGTACAACTGGGACTCTCTTTCCTAAATCCTTGTTTTCAACAAGATGCTTTTTCATTTTCTGCCAGTGCCATAGGGTATTCCCATAAAAATTAAAGTGAGAACTTATTCACAACCATAATGAAAAGAGCCCTGTAGGAGTTAAAGGCTGGATATCATATGAATATCTGGTGTGCACAATTAGAGGAAGTCTGAGCTATGTAAGAAATGTGTGTTTAATGGACAGTTATGACTGAATGCTGTAGGTCAAGAAGTAAAAGGCAACTTATAAATTCATTATTAGTTTACAGAATGCTGTTTATGAAAAACAGAACAAAGGAAGAATGTAGGCTGGGAGACTTTCCACTTTCCTACTAAGTATGATATTCATACATTACATGAATGGAATTGTAAAATATGTGACCTTTTTAATATTGGATTTGTTTTTATTCAGCATACTTTTCTTTTGATCCATTTAAGTCAGTAGGTATCACACTAGTTTCTTAGTTTTTGTTTTCTTTTTAAAAATTTTTTTAAAGATTTTATTTATTTATTTGAGAGAGAGAGAGAGCAGGAGCGCAGGGGAGGGGCAGAGGGAGAAGCAAGCTTCCCGCTGAGCAGGGAGCCCGATGCGGGGCTCGATCCCAGGATCCCGGGATCATGACCCGAGCCCCGAGCTGAAGGCAGACGCTTAATGGACTGAGCCACCCAGGTGCCCTTTAATTTTTGTTTTCTTACTGTATAGTATTTCATGGTACGAATCTACTGAAGTTTTTTATGGGAAATTTTTTTTCCCGGATTTTGCATAGTACAGATAAAGCTTCCATGAACACTCTTGTATTGAATTATATGAGGACATAAGTATTTATTTTCTCTGGGGAAATGTCCAGGGTGTGATTGCTGCATCATATGATACGTGTATATTTACATTAAAAAAAACACACACACAAAGCTATTTTTAGCATGATTGTACTATTTTACATTGCCATCAGCAATGTATGTGTGTAATACAGTTTCTCCACATTTTTGCCAACATTTGGGTATTATCAGTGTTTTTGTTTGTTTTTATGTTTTTAGCAATTCTAACAGATAGTGATATCTTATCATGGTCTTACTCTCCATTACCATAATGAGTAGTGAATGCTAAATGTGTTCTCATGCTCTTGTTTGCCATCTGAATATCCCCTTCATTGAAATATATATTCGTGTCTTTTACCCATTTTTCTTTCTCTCTCTTTCTTTCTTTCTTTCTTTCTTTCTTTCTTTCTTTCTTTCTTTCTTTCGTTCTTTCTTCTTTCTTTCTTCCTTCCTTCCTTCCTCCCTCCCTTCCTTTCTTTCTCTTCCTTTCTTTATTTTGTTTTTTTGTGTGTGTTGTTGTTAAAGGCGAAAGATTTATTCACTCTGAGGAGAAACCGGAGTATTTTTACCCATTTTCTAATTGGATAGATTTGGCTCTTATTTTATATATTTGTTTCTTTATTCTTTACTGCTGAGTTTTGAGAGATCATCATGTATTCCTGATAAGAGTCCTTTTCCAGATATGTGGTTTTCAGATACCTTCTCACAGTCCATGGCTTGTCTTTTCATTCTCTTAGCATGGTTTTCACAAAACAAATGTTTTTAATTTTGACCAAGTATAATTTAAAATGTTTTTTTATAAATTTTATTCTATGGATCATGATTTTGATGTGAGGCTGAAAGCTGTTTTATCACGCCCAAGGTTTGCAAGATTTTATCCTGTTTTTTTTCCAAATACTCTATAGTTTCATTTTATACTTAAACCTAAGATCAGTTTTTCAAAAAATATTCATTTATTTATTTGAAAGAGAGAGTGTGAGCTGGGGGAGGAGCAGAGGGAGAATCTCAAGCAGACTCTATGCTGAATGCGGAACCCACATGGGGCTCAATCTCATGACCAAGAGATCATGACCTGAGCTGAAACCAAGAGCCGGATGCTTAACCTACTGAGCCACCAAGGCGCCCCATCAATTTTGAATTAATTTTTGTATGACATGAAAGATTAGATCAATGTTTCTTTGTTTTGCCTACCGATATCTAATTGCTGTGGAACATGCCAGGAGAAGTCATCAAGAAATTGTGACTGTCAATTGACCTTTGAACTGGATCCAGGCAATTGGAGGCTCCTCACCCCCTCTTAAGGGGGTGCTCTGGGATATACATTCTGCCCACCATTCCCACAGTGGAAGCCATTTTCAAGGATGCAGCCTTGAGAGAGAAAGGTGTTGTTGAGACCATCTGGATGGTGTATTGTGACTGCACTCAGCACCACTGTATAAACTATTTTAAGATTCCAGCAGGCAGGTGTGGAGATCTACTCATCTTGCAGCCATGCAAGACAAGCCTCGTGTGTAAGTTCCCTTGCTTATTAAAACTACCACCTACCAATCTGGCATGGCCTGCCTCTTTATTCAGTCTCTCCTTGCCCTCCCTTATGGGGGCCAGTTTCAGATTTGACCCGGGAAAATTCCTAAGGATGCAAACCAACAGGACTGTTTGTCAAAAAAACTGTTCCTCTTCTATAGAATTGCTTTTATGACGTTGTCCAAAAATAGTGCGCCCAACTCGTACAGGGCTGTTTTGTGGTACTCTTCCGTTCAGTTGATCTATGTGTCTTTTCCCCACCAATAGCACACAGTCCTGATTACTGTCGGTAAATAGTGAGTCCTGAAATCAGGAAGCGTGAGTCCTTCCACTATATTCTTTGTAATGTTTGTTTTTGATACTCTGGTTTTTTTTTTTTTTTTTTCCATAAACATTTTAGAAAAGGCTTGTCTTGTCTCTAAAAAAAAAACAAAACTTGCTGAGATTTGTCTAAGAATTATATTAAATCTGTATTTCAAGTTGGGAATGTTTTTAATTTTCAGTTTATTTTCTCTCTTTTGTTCAGTTTGGATAATTTCTATTTTATCGTCTTCAATTTTAGTGATTATTTTCCTGCCCCCTCATTCTTGTGTTGAAACTTTTATTTTACATATTGCATTTCCAAGTTCTACAATTTCCATTTGGTGTTTCTTTACATCTTTCACTTTTTTTCTGAGACTTTCTATTTCTTTGTGAAGACTTTTTTTTTTTTCATTTTTTTTCAAGTATGTTCATAAAGCTCATTGAGACATTTGTATGATGGCTGCCTTAAAATCCTCACAGGTAATGTATTAGCTCTATTATCTTGGTATGAGCACTTATTGATTATTTTCCTCCTTCAAGTTGAGAGTCTCCAGATTTTTTTATGACAGGTGATTTTTGATAGAAGCCATGATGTTTGACATATCATGCTATGACTCTCTCAATCTTATTTAAGTCTTCTGTTTGAGCTTGCCTTCTATGACACTTCCCCATCAGGGGAAAGTAGGGCACTGATTCCTTACTGACATAGAGGGTAGAAGATCATGTTTCCATTCAGCATCTATTGAAACCTGGGGGAAAAGTTCTTTGTTACTGCTTGGTTGAGGAAGAGGGTACAGCTGTTTACTAGATTTCTACTATACTATCCTATCTGGAAGGACAGGAATGCCTTATTACTATTTCCCATATGGTTTCCATTGACATGGAAGGGAGTCTGGCCCTGTTATAGCTGGGTGCTATTGAAAGTCCTGACTCTCCACTCGCCACGAAGCCTCTGCTCACACCACTCCAACTAGAAGATGGATGGATATCTCTCTATCACCAGGTGGAGGCAGAAGTTGAGGATCTCGTGTGTTCTCCACTGATTCATTGAGGATGTGGGCCACTCATTACTGTGCAGCAGGAATGAAAATCTTCACTTCCTTTTTAGCTCTGGGTTTTGCTAACATAAATTTTAATAAATTTCAAAATGCTGAAATCTTAAACTTCATAGATTAAATTTCATATTTGAATTAATCTATTAAAATCTGCTCCTCAATATTGGGGTTTATTTGTACATTTCAAGCTAGAGCAACTATTCCTGTTGTTCTGAATTCAGTTATGAAGTTCTGGCTTTGACCTTTAACAAGCTTCTAGAGATGTATAAAAACATGAAAGCATTAATAAGTTATTAGCCTTGCCTGCATCCGCCAGTGAGAAATGTCATTTTGTTTCAACATGCTATCCTGTTATCATGCCTTGAATAGTTACAAAGACTATTTTATATTCCCTTGTGCTTCTGAGTTTTTTATCTCACATCTGCTGCCTTAGATTAGCCACCCATCAGCTTTAATTTCACCTTCTGGTCTCTAGGTTTCTCACAACAGCCGGAAGGACCCAAAGGTTAATTATTACTGGCCTGCTTTGAATGGCACATACATCCTCTGTTGTCATCTCTGCTCCTGTTGTCCGTTTTTTCACAAGCTCCCCAGCCTCAAATACACCCTTCCTCCTGGTGTATCTATTCTGTTACTAAATAGCGTTTATACAGTATACTGTCCTCTTGCTTGGGATCCACGACCATCCTCAGTTAGACTTCTTGCAGCCCTTGATAAATCATAGGGCCCTGAGACAGCGCCGCTGCTCGCGCGCCTCCCCCTCGGACTCCCCTGCCCCAGACTGCCGCTAGGCCGGGGCCGGGCGACGAGGACCCTGAGAGCATCCGCTCGGACGGCCCCGGGAGTCTGTTCGGTTCGCCCGCTTCGACCTCGCCAGGCTCCGCTCCTCCGGCGCGCGAGGGGCCTCGGTGGTTGCGGCGCCGGCGCCCGGCCTGTGTCAGAGCCCGCGGCGGCTCTGCTCCGCCCTGCTGCAGAGGGACGCGTCGGGCCGCGCCGCTCGCCCACCCCCGGGCCGCCCCCCGGCCTGCGTCCCCCCGCTCCTGGCGGCGGCCTCGGGCGCCGCGCGGTCGTGTTCCCGAACAGTGTGTTCCGTGGGAAACGGTACGAGCGACTCTATAGTGCTCTCGCCAAGGCACTGAACAGCAGGGCTGCCTCCCAGCACCCAGAATATTTGGTGTCACCTGACCCAGAACATCTGGAGCCCATCGATCCCAAAGAACCCCTCGAGGAGTGCAGGGCTGTCCTGCACACTCGACCTCCCCTGTTCCAGGGGGATTTTGTGGATCTGAGGACAGATTGCCCCAGGAGCCACCCACCTATTGGGGTCATGCAATGGAACATCCTCGCCCAAGCTCTTGGAGAAGGAAAAGACAACTTTGTACAATGCCCTGTAGAAGCGCTCAAGTGGGAAGAAAGGAAATGTCTCATCCTAGAAGAAATCCTAGCCTACCAGCCCGATATATTGTGCCTCCAAGAGGTGGACCACTATTTTGACACCTTCCAACCACTCCTCAGTAGATTGGGCTATCAAGGCACGTCTTTCCCAAAGCCCTGGTCACCTTGTCTAGATGTAGAACACAACAATGGACCAGATGGCTGTGCCTTGTTTTTCCTCCAGAACCGATTCAAGCTAGTCGACAGTGCCAATATTAGGCTGACAGCCATGACATTGAAAACCAATCAGGTGGCCATTGCACAAACTCTAGAATGCAAGGAGTCCAGTCGACAGTTCTGTATTGCTGTCACCCACTTAAAAGCACGTACTGGTTGGGAACGATTTCGCTCAGCTCAAGGCTGTGACCTCCTCCAGAACCTGCAGAACATCCCTCAAGGAGCCAAGATTCCCCTTATTGTTTGTGGGGACTTCAATGCAGAGCCAACAGAGGAGGTCTACAAACACTTAGCTTCCTCCAGCCTCAACCTGAACAGTGCGTACAAGCTGCTGAGCCCTGATGGGCAGTCAGAACCCCCATATACGACCTGGAAGATCCGGATGTCAGGGGAATGCCGGCACACGCTGGATTATATCTGGTACTCTAAACGTGCTCTGAGTGTGAGGGCAGCTCTTGATTTGCTCACTGAAGAACAGATTGGACCCAACCGGCTACCATCTTTTAATTATCCTTCAGACCACCTATCTCTAGTGTGTGACTTCAGCTTTAATGAGGAACCTGATGGACTTTTATAAATGCTTGTCTTTTTAATCACAAGAGTCTTAACCAGGGATGTTTCAGGAAACTAAAATAGGATAAGAAGTTGCCCGAGGAAGGATTCCCAGTTTCTTTTGTCATTTTCCATGTTTCCAGCATGCCCTTGGGAAGGAATCCCATTAGTCCACAAACCTTTTCCATTAAAACCTGCAGCAAAAAAAAAAAAAAAAAAAAAATCATAGGAGCCCTACCTTCTGAGAAATTTTCCATGACACCGTCCCACATACTTCCTAAATTAAGTCCACTATTAACTGTTAACACATAAATCTTGAACTCTTTGCTGTTTTTCTTTTTTAAAATAAACTATAATTAGGACAGTTTTTGATACATAAAAAAATATGAAGATACTACAGAGTTTCCATATACTCACACCCAGTTTCCTGAATGATTAACATTTTAAACTAGAATAGTTGAATAGTTATCGTTCCTGGTACATTATTATTAACTAAAGTCCATATTTTATTCAAATATCCTTATTTTTTTACCTACTATTTCTGTTCCAGGATTATATCCAGGATAGTACATTACATTTCATTGTCGTGTCTTCTTAGGCATCTCTTGGCTGTGACAGTCTTAGACATTTCTTGTTTTCAGTGATCTTGAGAATTTTGAGGAATACTGGATATTTTGTAGAATGTCCCTCAGTTTAGATTTATCTGACTTTTCTCTCATGATTGGAATGGGATATGATGTTTTAGAGGAGAATATTACAAAGGTAAAAGGCCGTTCTCATCACCTCATGTCAAGGGTGTATGCTCTCAGTATGACTTAATACTCTTGATTTGACCTATAGCACTTGACAAGGGTTTGTCACGTTTCTTCACGAAAACTTACTGTTTTTTCCCCATTTCCATACTGTACACTTTGGAAGGAGTCACTGTCCGCAGCTCACACTTAAGGAATGAGGAGTCAGACATCATTTCCCTGAAAGTGACGTATCTATACCAATTATTTGGAATCCTGCATGGGAGGTCTGTCTCTTCTCCATGTATTTCTTCAGTCATTAATTAACTTGTATTATTGTGAACTCATGAATATTTTGTATATATAATTCTCCTTTATTTCATTGCTCAAATTGTTCCAGCTTTGGCCATTGGGAGCTCTTTGAGTTGGCTCCTTTTGCATGAGTTGTGTCTTTGGCATGAGAACAAGAAATAATTTATTTCCCCAAATTCCTAGGACAATACTGTTCTACATGTGTTGCATTTCTGACACTAATATCTGCTGTGTGGTTGTGTGGGTGGTATAGTTTATATATAATGAGAGACAAAATGGTGTGCAAGGAAAAAAAAATGATTCAGGACTCAGTTTCCAAGATGTCCGTGATTGAGCTTGCGATCTTTAAGAAAACTTCACTTAATCTCATGTTCCACATCTCAGGAAGTGGCACCATCTTTTTTTTTTTTTTTTTTAAAGATTTTATTTATTTAATTGAGAGAGAGCGAGAGTGCGAGAGGAAACACAAGCAGGGGGAGTAGGAGAGGGAGAAGCAAGCTTCCCGCCGAGCAGGGAGCCCAATGCGGGGCTCGATCCCAGGACCCTGGGACCATGACCTGAGACGAAGGCAGTCTCTTTAACCAACTGAGCCACCCAGGCGCCCCAGCACCATCTTTGTTCACGTTAAAAACTTAGAACATTCTTCTGCCACATCCTATCAATCACCTTGTGCAAAAGTCTTGCCACTTAATTACCTTTCAATGATTGTAGTTTTTCCTTTTTTTGCTGCCACCATCCTCTTCCCATCTGTTTTTACCTCTGACAACTCCAACTGCCTCCAAAGGCAAATTAAATTTGAATATATACAGATTAATGTCATAATTAATAAAGTTTATAAGAGCAAAACATTTCCATTCAGGGTTATATACATATATAATAAAGTTACATAAAGACATGCAATAATCCCCTGCATGATAAATAAGCTCTGGAATGCTCTTATTTTCTCCTTGTACTTGCTTCTGGCTCTTTCTTGTCTTTTATTTACATATCACATCCTCAGAGTTGCCATCTTTGATCCAAAATTTAGGTTAGAATTTTCAGTTATAGACCCCTGAATTTTGTGGATCCTAGAACACAAAACCAGCTTTTATCTTTATAGAGATTATTATAACCATAATTTTTCCTAATACTGAGGGTCTTTTCCCCCCATCTACATTGTAAATTAGCCCTAAAATGCATGTAAGAATATATTAACTGCTGAGTAATCATTTTAATTTTTAAGTTTCTCATACATTAATAAAGAAACTATTATTACAAGATTTTTTGTGGGTATCAAATTAAGTATTTTCAAATCTGTGACGCATGCTACAACATGAAGGATGATAATGCCTACTAGAGCATAATGCTGCCCGTAATTGTGTTCATAATGCTTTTCTCATCAAACCTCAATAAATACACGTATCTGCATGTTACTGAAGAGGTCTGACTTTATTGACCCACAAAAGGGTTTGAATCGAGATTCTGCTGCTTATTAACTTCATGAACTGGGGGAATCTCCAACTGTAAGCCTGGGTTTTCCTGAAGTAGGGATAATGATACCTAACTTATAGTGTGAAGATAAAGGATGGTGTAGACTTCATTTAATTAGATGAGGTATCCCTACAACGTTGTCTGTATCTAGATAATGAGTTTTTAAATTCCCTGTTTGATATTACATTATCAAAACAATTTTATATTTAATGTCATTCTGTTTAATTTCATGTTAATGAATCATCTTATATATATAAAAAAGAGAGCAAAATATGAGATTTCATATACCCATCACTGATAAATCAGATTTATCTGATTTTTCTCTCATGATTAGAATGGGATATGATGTTTTAGAGGAGAATATTACAGAGGTAAAAGGCCATTCTTATCACCTCATGTCAGGGGCGCATGCTCTCAGTATGACTTAATACTCTTGATTTGACCTGTAGCACTTGACAAAATATAAATATAAAATTTAAAATTTTTACAAATGTACTAGAAATATAAAATACAAAATATAAAATTTTTATATAAAACATAAAATAAAGGATAAAATATAAAATTTTTACATATGTACTAGAAATGCCTTGAATTCTATCTTCTGTTACCTTCCCTCTTTGTTAGAAGATGGCCAATATTCTGAAATTTGAATATTCCATCTTATATATCTTTTTGCTTACCTATTATTTTATATATTTCAACTCAGTGATACATACCAATTTAATTTAAAAGAAACCTTATATAAATGCTATTAAAAATGCATATATGGGGGCGCCTGGGTGGCTCAGTCGTTAAGCGTCTGCCTTCGGCTCAGGTCATGATCCCAGGGTCCTGGGATCGAGCCCCGCATCGGGCTCCCTGCTCCGCGGGAAGCCTGCTTCTCCTTCTCCCACTCCCCCTGCTTGTGTTCCCTCTCTCGCTGTGTCTCTCTCTGTCAAATAAATAAATAAAAATCTTTAAAAAGAAGAAAATACTTGCATGTATACATATTTACATATATATCTGCACAAATCTAAACTTACTTTTCATTCAACATTATATTTCTAAAATTTGTACTTATTGGCACATGTGTCTCTGATATTTTTCAATTTCACCATATAAATATATCAGAGTTGAGAACTGATTTATCTATTTAATTACCCATAGTAATTTAGATCAGCAATGTCCAATAGCATTTTCTGCAATGATGTAAATGCACATATGATTATTGAACGCTTTAAATGTAGTTGGTGCAACACAGTAACTGATCTTATTCTATTTTAATTTAGTGAATTAAAATTTAAAACAATTTAAAGATTTTATTTATTTATTTGAGAGAGAGCGGCGGGGAGGAGCTGAGGGAGAGGGACAGGCAGGTTGCACTGAGCACAGAGCCTGGCATGGGGCTTGATCTCACAACCCTGAAATCAAGTCTGATGCTTAACCAACTGAAGCACCCAGGGGCCCCTAAAATTTAAATTTGAATAGCCACATGTGATCAGTAACTACTGTACTGGGCGGCACAGATTCAGATTTTTTTCAGTTTTTGTTACATCTGCTGATGCTTGCACATGATTCCTACGGAAATGTGAGAGTTTCTCTTAGACCCATATCAAATACTAGCATTGATGGGCCACAGGTCAGGCATATCCCAAAACTGTAATAGAATTGCCATGTTGTTCTCTAAGATTATTGTAACAATTTATACTCCTACTGTCAGTATATGGGAGTTCCTGTGTTCTTATTTACTAGGTAACTCTTGACATTGTCAAGCTATAAAAATATCAATATTATGTGTCTTGTGCTTTTAATTTTTATTTACTTAATTACAAGAGTGGTTGAGTACCTTTCATGTTAGTTATTGGCCATTTGCAGTTCCATTTCTCTTAAACAGCTGGTCATAAAATGTATCCGTTTATTTTATTGGCAAAAAATTTAAATGTAGAGCAACCTTCAGTTATGTATTAAGCTCTCATTGTATTCAAGAAGAATCTGTTACAAAGAGAAACAGAAAATTGTGTAATGTCACAGTCATGTCAGTGATTAGGGTCCCCCCCCCATAATTGTCTCTTTCCTATGGACTTGAGGATTTTGATGATTTTCTTATTCAGAGAAACTAGGAAAGGATCAAACATCATTGTCCTGGTCGCCTTATCTGTGATTTAACTGGGTTTTAAAAATAGTGGATGTAGCTCGACTCTGGTGAGTGTTCTGTGGTCCACAGGAGCAGAGTATTGATGAGTATTATTAAGACGACCCAGCCTGGGGAAGTTCTCTGTGGGAATGCATCAATCCTTCATTTTTCTGGACCTGCCCAGCATGGTGCTTTTCTATTGCCTGAGGTTCCTTTAGATTTGAAATCACTTTTGGGTTTCCTAACTTTAATACTGGCCCTTGTAATTCTCAACTCATCTGATCCCTCCCTGGTGTACAGCTCACATGGAACCTGTGTTTTGGTATTATCAGCAATGGATTTAGAAGGTACACAATTTGATGTATATTTCTCCCTCCCTCCATAATGGGCTCTGTCCTTCCATCAGGATATGAATATGTATATACACATATCTATAAATATTCCTGTGTGTGCCATCTATATCTGTATTTAGTTCAACAAGAGTCCGTATTCATGTCCACCTCTAATCCATTACCATAGAGATCATTCTGTCCTCTTCTACTTGGTTTCCTGTTTCTACT